TACATATACACACATATCCTTTTTTCGCTTTCTAATATAACAAGGCAGGTGTGGAGTACATATTTTTTGCATGCATGTAACAAAACACATTGTATAACTTTTCTTATACTTTCAATAAATATTCAATACTCTTATTATAATACTAAAAGAAGACATCTCATGTACTAATCATGAAATAGAGCTAAAATAAAATTAATAAAGGAAATTTGAGAAGCATTTGTAAGGATCACCTGAATCCATTAGACCAAACGAAACCAACAATTTTCTCGACCATGTGGTCTATCCCTCTGTTTCTTTCTTGCATTTGTGCCATGCACTCTTATCGATACTTTTGAAGTGGGAAGACTATATGGTTGACAACAAGCACTTTAAATTCTATATCCAGGTACAAAAAGCATGATATTTTCAAGCAGATTAATCAAGAGTATAATGCTCCATTGTATGAATTTGGCCGCAGGATGCAAGTGTATAAAAGTGAGCAATTTACATTAATACTTCCACACATTATTGCCTTATGAACTCTGCCTTATGTTCTAATATTCCAAATACGCTTCACTTTCTTTCGCTTCTGCTTCAACGTCACATGAAACATTCGTTAAATCCAGGTGATCATTTCCTAAAAAGAAAGTGGCACAAGGTACCATATTCTGAAAGTAGCCCATGTATCTTCCACTATTCTGAAATTAAGAACTTAAAGTTTTTAAAGGGAATCTAAAAAAAAAAAAGAATAAAAGTATATGTGTGTGGCATATTTTACCATGGTATAAAACCAGGCACACTGTAAAGGTTCACGATGCAATGTAGATAATCCTAACTATTTAACAGGGCGATAATGAAGTGTCAAATCTGCTGAACTTTTCCAGATGAAATGTCTAACCTAAGAAGTAGAGACATATAAAATAATTTCAAATATTTTCTCAAGGATTATGAGTAAAAACTTTACTCAACTCGATACATACTGTTCTCAAATCCATCGAAGGATCCAAGATTTGATCATTACACAAAAGTTCAACTTTTTCCTCAGCCAGCGAAGAATTATCAGCATTGGAATCTGTATTTGTCCTGTCGCCTGCCGGAGATCCACTGGAGACTGTATTCCCACCACCAGCCACCGAACCCGAGTCGCTTCCTGCACCGAGCACTTTGTCGTAAACATGTTCGGCTACTTTACGCACTTGTATAAAATCATTTGCTATCAGTCGATCCCTTGAAGATAACGATGCATAAGATTTATTTAATTGTATCATTGTGCATTTCAAATATTTAAAGATGTGACACATACTTTTTCAAACTTTTTACACCCGAAGAAGCGTGTGGAAGAAGATAGAAAGGTATTTTAATGAATTGCGGGAGATTCTTATCTACGACAATATTCACTACCCATGGCGGTACAGTCTCGTTCAGTAAAACTCCTTCGGTTTCCCCTGCGGCGTCTCGAACTAATAGTCGATAGATGGTTCTACCTCCCACTTCACTAAAAAGTAAAACAATATGATAATCTAATCAGAAAACATTTAATATTCTTTGCATACCTGAAAATGACAGGTGTATGACTAGGTACTGAGAAGTACGGATTTCCTCCTCTTGTATGTATAGGACCGTTTCCATCATTGCCATTGCCTTCATTTTCATCATCAGCATGTAACGGCCTCCACCAGTATTCGAGTAATGCTTGCAGCAGAAGATTGCCATAATTCACTAAAAAAAGCAAGAATATTAAATTCCGAATAAATCTGTTTTTTGTAACTGGACTAGTGTATGCTCATTGTAGTTAAAATGAAATAGATATATACTTGGCAAAAACGAGATAGAAAGTTTTAAAGCAGTTCAGTATAGCAATAAAAAACAAACTTCATGATATAAGTCATAAATATTATTATAAAGTAACTAATCACCTTTCTGGTCTACAGCATCATTTTCCGCTAGACCTGTTTCTTTGGCGGAAACCCAAGCGGAGAAACAGTCATTTTCATCTTGCCCTAAATGTATAGTTAACATCTAGAATAATGAAGAAGATTTAGAACTGATTTAACCCTTTAGAAAATATTATCAATAAAATTAATCAAGATTAATCAATAAAATGCATACCCCCGTTTTGAGATCGACGTTAAACCAATTTGGAACGTACACCATTTTGTTTCTCGTTTTACATTCTTGCTCGAAATCAACTCTGCCTAAATCTTCTACTTTACATGCCTTTAATACATCATATAATGCAACGTTTTCTTCCGTATCCTTTGTCAAAACGTGTCTTTTGTCGTTTAATATATGATAATGTCTTATGGCAGGACCGCCTAGTATTTTTTGCGCAGGCTCGGTGTTCTTTAAAATGTTGCCTGACACATTACTCGCGGAATCGCAATAGTCTCCTATTCCTAACTCTTGCCAATCTTTTTGGCTTATTGGCTGAAATAACAGAAAATATTCTCCTTTGCAATTTACGTTTTCTTTGTGAAAATTTGTTATATCGCGTAAGATTTATTTACCCAGTTATTAATAGTCGATTCGCTAGTCGCAACCCAAATACTAGATTGATCTGGCGTCATAGCCATTTTCAATATAGGTGCTTTCTCCTCGCAGATAACAGTATACCTTTCTGTGTAGCTTAATTCTGTCATTACTACTCTTTTATCCCTACCTCCAGATATTACATGGCTAAAATTATCTGTTGCCTAAAACATCGAGTTTTAATGTAACCTGCTAATAATTAGATTAAAATAATTGCAATGTGTAATTACCAATAAAGCCCATACACCTTCTTTGTGAACTCTAAATGTTTGCACGCATCTCTGTTGGCCAAGTGACCACAATTTGATAGTTCCATCGGAACTCGCTGACAAGCACTGTGTACCATCCCTGTTTAGGACTAATGCTTTAATATTGTCCGTATGACCACGAAGTTTCATAAGTTTAGTACAGAATCGTGGATCCCACACTCGAAGCACCTTTTCTGTGCTGCCGCTTACGATAACCGTGCCAATCTGATTCATGGCGAGGCTGTATATAGAGTCCCTATTTCCGCTCAGAGACGACGCTGCAATACAATATTTTTAAATTTTAATTGCATATAAGAGATGCATATTTGTAGCATTTAAAAAATAGATTACATACTCGTAACTGTATTGTTACTTGCAGTAAGAGCAGTCAATGTATTAACATCCCACAGAAATATTGATTTATCTAGACCCGCACTAGCAACTTGCTCTCTATCCTTAGCATAAGCTAATGCTTTGACATAATCTTTGTGCGTACGCAGTGTTGACATGCAAAAACCTTTATGTGCATTCCATACCTTGACAGTTGTATCGGAACTTGCTGATATAACTACAAATTTAATAACAATTAACTGAAGTTGATGCAGAAATTAGATATCAAAGGAGATATCGTTTGATAGAAATAATACATTCACTTAGTAAAAATAATATTATAAGATTTATTAAGTCAGATAAATAAAAATATGGTTTAGAAATATGTACTTACGATTTTTGCCATTACAACATAAGACTATATCGTTAACCCAATCTGTATGATGTTCCATGGATTGAATATATGGTTCTTTCATGTTTCTGCAATTCCATATCCTTATGATACTGTCTCTGCCAGCAGAATATAGCCTATGTAGAACTGGATCATACTGCAAGGAATTAACACCAGCCCTGTGCTGCTTCTCTATCTCATCTCTTATAACCATAGATACCTTTATCAAACAATTAATAGCAAATTAATGCAATTCCTTCTCAACGTTTACAACTTCTAAATGCTATCAATGTTTAATAAATATAATCAAATGTTGATGCAAATATATCTCATATCAATTTTTATACATCACTACATTTAATATCTCAAAAGGCAGAAACAGCTATCGCTGTCAATCAATGTCAAAAAATCAAAACTATTCCATAATGATTCTTAGAATAAGAAACGAGTATCACATCATACATGCATAATTATAGAATAATTTCATAAAAGAGCCAGAGATCTTCCACGAAGCATGATGCTCGTCAGGTCGGTTCAGCGCAAATCTAGAGTTCATCGATGATAGAATCACATGTTGTACCTGTACTTTTTTACGGGTACTCTGCCCGCCCGTTTTGTGAGCTGCCATTGCGCCCGGGACTGCTTCGTCCGGCGTCTCGACGGCGATCCCGATCGCGAAATAAAGGGGAGAAAAATGCGGTGAAGTTTGAAGAATTCAACGCGCAATGCACGACGGCGTACGCTGCACAGTTCAAGCTGCGACAATTCCACGTTGTGCACGGTCGTTGTTCTGCATTCGCGGCGTCATCGGCGTCATCACCGCTGTCGTCGTCGTCGTCGTCGTCGTCGTCGTCGTCTGCGTCGCCGATTTCACTGTTGGCGATCGTCGCGTGACATCGTCCTCCTTGTCGTCGTCGTCATTACATTATTATCGACGATACAGCATACGAGACAGGTGTCAGTGCATCACCGGGGGAAATCGTATCGCTCCTTTCAGCCGATCGCGGTTTTCAGACAATATTTTTCATGACGCTTGTGCGCACACCACGTTCGCAGTGATCGCTACTTCTGCTGTTGCTATTCTCGTGCCGCCGGTATCAATATGCCTCGGCATAGCAGTACGCACGCAGCGTTACATCACGGGGCTGCAACGAGCAATCGCACCGACCATTCCGATTCCCATTCGTCGCGCGTGAGCACGACGGCACACGAAAAAAAAATGTAATTCCGACAGGAGGCGAATCGACCAATCGCAGCCAGGACGTTATCCCTAATAACGTCGCTGCTTTAAACCCCCACGGCCAAGATTGGTCAATTGGAATAAAGTTCTCTCTCTGAAAATATAATACAAATATAATACATTATGGGTTAATTGTTCAAAATTCTAACAATTCTGTGTGACCATGCGACTCTCGTAAGATCGTCGGTCTCTTTAATAAGTATTTTGTCGATAATTATACTACGGAACGAATTTTCCATCAAACTTTTCGATTGGCTGTTGGATGCAAATGATTGGTTGATTCGGTTGTACCATCTGCCTTATTCGATTCATCCGATTGGTTCACGAGTACAGATACGCCAATCGGCGCGTCCATTGCGAACGTTCATTGAGAGATACGCGGCTAACATCCGGTTGTGATATGTCGAATGGAGATATTAACGGTGCTGTAGTACATCGGCGGGTCTCGCCATTTTCTTGGTCTGTAAATTGCCCGTCGTTACGCCTGTCGTCGTATCATCGCCGTTGTCGTTGCGTTGTTGGGCGTTGACTGTTGTAAAGCAATAGAGTGTCGGTGGTTTACGTATTACGAGTGCGATCTGCGACGCCGGGCACGGCGTCACCACGTCAAGCAACGATGAATCAGTCGCGAAATTTCACATCGCTATTGAATCCGAGCTACCTGCAAAACGCTCAACAGCAAAATGCCGCGAGCGCGAACTCGGCGGCGGCAGCGGCCGCGGCTGCGGCGGCGGCCGCTGCCGCGGTGAGTGCCGCGATCGCGAACGGCACCCAGGCGAATGCGAACACGGCGAATGCCGTAACGCCGAGTCGCAAACGGGAAGCGGAGGGTAAGCATCTCCTTTCTCTTTTCTGCTATACAAGGATTTCTAACGAATGGACTTTTTCCCGCTTCGAGACAATTTTCATGTCAGCGATTATTCGTTTATAGTGGTCTTATCTTTATTCTATAGATAACATGCAAGAAACATTTTCTATTCTAATAATAAAATTGAAAAAAAGAGAGAATAGATATCTCGGGTGAAATGTTCTTGCAAATTCATAATGAGAAATGTTTTATAAGATAGAATTTTATGTTGCTTTAATGATATTTATGAATTTGTAATTTATTGGTAGAATTCTTTGTAGGCGATGGTAAACAGGAAAAAGAATCAAAAGAAGGAGAACGTAAGAAGAGGAAAAAGACTAGATGGAGTGGTAGCGAACATGACAAAACATTTATACCAGGGATGCCTACAGTACTACCGACAAATCTGACTCCTGAACAGGAGAAGGCTTATCTCTGTAAGTTTCTTTCTTTCATATAACTTTTATATCTCCTATAGTACGCTAGTACATATGGCTAGGGAATCAAGTTTCAAGTACTTTACTTCTGTACATAAGTTTCTGAGACCTAATTCATAAGAGTAGATGGCTATAAATGGTGTAAGTATGATATATATTTCAATAAAAATTCAAAATTCTTGGAGGTAAGCAGAATTTTTTAAGAATTGTGTAAACTCATCAAATTTGGCAAAAGGAATTGCCAATTTTGCTGAATATTTATGATCTGATTATTAGTATATTTTTAATGAATAAATTATTATGAATAAATGAACTATGCAATAAATTGTTATATATTATTTAGATACGTAATGATTTAGCAGAAATTTTCTTGTATATTCTACAATTTTTTCAAATATATTAATCTTTATATTTAATAAGTCTAATAAAGCGTTGCAAGCTTCTGACTTTGAAAATATTTGAGGTTTAAGTATATTTATAATATTACTTTTTCTGAGACATGTTTATTTTATAGAATGTATACGGCAAATTGGCAATATTTAACTGTTGGGGTTTCCGCCCCCCTCTAACCCGTTGGTTTACAGTTCAGCTGCAGATTGAGGAAATCAGCAGGAAGCTACGCACTGGAGATCTTGGAATTCCACTTAACCCCGAGGAAAGGTTTGAAAGAAACTTACATACCAAAATGAACATTACATATCTACAATACCTATCTACTGAACATACAGCAGCCCATAATACAGGAGCCTTAAAAATATCTCTGTGGCTCAGGTTTACTTAGTGTGGGAATACCGATGTCCATTTGAAAACATCTCCGACTCAGTGATTAAAGGCCCTCATGCAACACAGAAGATGAATTTTGATAGTATTGGTTTGCCCTAATTAATCTTTTTAATATTTGGTTTTATTAAACACTGCTACAGTGTCATTACACTCTTAAATTTTTAAATTAAAATAGGCATATTGCATAAGAGAATAAATCTTGATAAATCCAACATGTAATAGACTGTATCAGTCAAAAGTTAGTAGCAGTGTTTAAAGAGAACAGTGGGTATTCTAGTTTGTATATGTCTTAAATAGACATATTTTTGTGTGCACACGTAGAATAACTTTGAGGTGACCTGCCACAATCTGTTTTGAATAGTTAGATAAAATTTACTAGATGTTTTGCTGCTCTATATTTTGTTATGAATATTTACAGTTTTGTGTATAGGTCATCTTGAATGAAATTTTGTTTCTTTATTCAGGCTGCCGTGATTTGCACGGCACATTTTGAAATTGTTATATTAATGTCAATAGGAAGATTAATCGACTTGTCAATATTTGTTGCTAATTGCAATCCTAATGAGTAGATTTCAGGAAAATATCGGTTTATTGAAATTCTCATTCATATCGTAATGTTGTAACAAAGAATCTAACGTTACTTTCAGGTACAGGTCTTAAATAATAAATGCACATAATTTTTCTAATAAATTAATTTACTCCAATAGGTTTAACTTTTCCAATTTTAGCTGGAACCATTATTTTTATGTCGTTGTATTTTTTTTTGTTAATATATACATAGTAAGATATATCAATTGCAGTATAACTAATTCAAAAGATTATTTCTTAATAATCACAGGATCTGTCTTAGCAGCTGACATCATACCGATATCTGCCGTGCACAAACGCGCAGTCTTCCAGTGGTTGCCTACTATAGAATACTAAATATATAGCTATGCTATATTCGGCAGCGACACTTTTTCTATTCTTTATTTCGATGCCTCGGCACTGTTGGGAGATTCTATAATACACAATCCTTTGATAGTTTCTAAAAAGTACATAATTGATTACATAAGCAAACTGATACAGTCATGCAATTATTTTAATATTTATATGGTTGGATATATCTTAATATCAGCATCTATCTCTTATTTTTGAAACAAATTTATTGAATATCGTTTTTAAATATTTTCCTATAAATTATATAACTCCTAGTATTCAGACAAAATTTTTGATACAAAATTATATTCTTTCAAATGAATAAACTTAAAATATAAAATTAATAGTTTAGAATTTAAATTTGGCAAACGGTATTACATTTACAGAGATACTGAATAGAATCAATATTTTGAAAAGAAAGATCATATAACAATAATTTACTTATCAGTTTTTTAAAATCAAAATCTACATAATTATATATGCTTTAAATCAACGGTTCTTCCCCACTTATAATATTCATAACAGTCATAGTAGGGTCAGACTGCTTGTACGCTAGTACCATCTTGATGAAAATTTATATCTTGATATGGTATTATTCTTTTTATTTTTCAGATCTCCATCTCCAGAGCCTATTTACAGTAGTGATGGTAAACGGTTGAACACGAGAGAATATCGTACAAGACGTAAATTAGAGGAAGAACGTCATAATCTAATTCAGAAGATCCTCAAAATCAATCCAGAGTTTAAACCACCACCAGATTATAAGTGAGTTGTACAGATAGTATTAATTAATTTTTAACTAATATATTTTTAATGCATATAACATTTTTATATCATGAATTCACTCGTTTATTTCTTAATACTTATATTTTCTCCTCTTAGACCACCAATAATACGAGTTCATGATAAAGTTATGATTCCCCAAGAAGAACATCCTGATATAAATTTCGTTGGTTTACTTATTGGACCGCGTGGAAATACTTTAAAATGTAAGCATTAAAAATTACATTTCACAAATATTAATAAAATTATATAATGCATATTCAAAACTTCAATTTCTATATTAAATTTTTTAGCTATGGAAAAAGAAACTGGTGCAAAAATTATAATTCGTGGAAAAGGCTCTGTGAAGGAAGGGAAAGTTGGTAGGAAAGATGGACAACCATTACCAGGCGAGGATGAACCTTTGCATGCATACATCACTGCAAACAATTTAGATGCTGTGAAGAAAGCTGTGGAACGAGTATGTATTTCTGCAAATTTATTCTTTAGTTTTTCATAATAATTGAAAACTATATATAAGCAATATAAAATATGTGGTATTGAAGAGAAGGGAGGAGAGGATATTGTATATATATATATAATTGATCTAAACGAAATGAGCAGTATAATATCAAAATTGGATTCATATATAGATTCACGAGATTATTCGGCAAGGTGTTGAGGTACCAGAGGGTCAAAATGACTTGCGACGTAATCAATTACGCGAGTTGGCTTTATTAAACGGAACATTACGTGAAAATGATGGACCTCGCTGTACTAATTGTGGAGCTTCGGATCATAAATCTTGGCTGGTTTGTGAAAATTATATAACGTTTTATCAAAAGGATTTTTCTTATTCATATAACTAATATAATTGTTAATGGAATTTTAGTGTCCTGATAAACCAAATGTGACGAACAATATAGTGTGTTCAAGTTGTGGTGGTGCGGGACATATTGCTCGCGATTGTAGATCAAAAAGACCTGGTCAAGGAGGTCCAGCAGCTGCCGGAATGGGAGGAATGGGTCAAGCCGGAGACAAAGCCAAAATAGATGAAGAATATATGTCTCTTATGGCAGAATTAGGAGAAGGCCCGCCACCAGATAGATCAAAGACAGGACAAAATAGACAAACTCCCAATCCCAATTATCCCGGACTTTTTGACAGGTAATCAATCTTTTCCTTTTTCCTTTTCTTTTTTTTCTCAATGTTAGGATAATCTTTTGATTCATTTCATTCTATTTTTTTTTTTTTAGACAACAACCACCTCGCGCGCTTATGGCCGCACCGGCGCATCCACCACCACAGATGATGCAGGGTAATCCGATGATGCCACCACCAGGCATGGCACCTCCACCATGGAGTCAAGGAGGCGAAGGGATGAATAACATGAACATGCAATGGCAGCCACCAGTGAGCATGCCGCCTCCGCCAGGCGTGATGCAACCGCCACCACCTCCACCCGGCTCTAATACGCAACCCAATATCCCACCATTAATGCCGTGGATGGCTGGTAACAATCAACCACCACCACCAGGTCAAATGCCACCTACACAAATTCCTCCACCTGGAATAGGCATACCACCATGGCAACAAGGACAGCAAGGACCGATGCGACCACCTCCACCAGGTACAGCACCGCCTCCAGGATTTCCTGGTGGATGGCAACCACAACAAATGGGCGGGTGGCCACCGGCTGCTCCGGTTCCACCACCGCCTCAGCAGCAGACTCCTGCCCCACCCGGGATTGATCTGAACACGCTGCCGACATTACTAGCACAACCACCGCCACCACCACCACCTACTAGTTAGTCTTAATTACATAACGAATGACTTCCGATCTATGTAATAATGAGACGATATCATTGAGATAAAAGAAAGTTTCTTAAGAAAAAGAGGGAAGATGGAAGATAGAAGGTAGAAGTTGAAAGAAACATGTCTCAGTAGGAAGTTAAAAAATGAAGATAGATGAGAAACTAGGACCGATGTAATTATATCGTAATTTTAGTTTTAATAATCAATTTTTTTTCATTGTATAATCTTATCTCTGAAAAACATTTATGATTATTAAGAAACCTTTACATATAAAATAGACACATTGCTCCAAAAAGACATTATCTTCATTAAAGAAACATTACCTAGTTACTGATTCTTTTAATTTAAAATAAATTAAAAAATTACTTTAAATTTCGTATTATGTACATCATATCACATCATAAATGATTATGACGCACAAGTTCTCCCATAAGAGCACAAGTACACCGATCTACATTTTTATTTTTTTTTTTTATTTTTTTATATTTTTTTTTTTTACTTTATTCCTATTTCCGAACGTTCGTTTTCCGAGATCGAATCTATCAATGTTGAAGAATTGTAATATAAGTAAAAACATTTGTTCATATTTTATTTATATATATGTATAAGTAATGCTCTAAAAGTACTATATACATCTACTATAATT